CTCCCTCCACCCACAGCCAATGAACATATGAAAAGATGTAAAATCTCAGTGCTGACAGAGGGGGGGAAATGGACATTCCTCACTGTTGGTGAAGAGTATAATGGTATAATCCTTTGTGGGTAAGGTAGTATAACCCTTTGTGGCATGTATTTTTAAAATGTCAAAATGTCAATATATTTTAACTTGGCTACTCCATTTCTTGGAATCAATCTCCTAGAAAGGACAGGGAGGCTCATTGCAGCACTGTAAGAGTAAAAAATTAGAAGCAATTTAATCTCTCAATAAGGGAAAAACATAACCATAAAATTGAATAGTATGCATATATTAGAAGAATGAGGAAATAGTAATAAAACAAAGCTAAGATTTATTGAGCGCTTACTATGTTCCAGACACAATTTTAAGTGCTTGTGAAAGGCAGGTTTATAAATGTGAACACGGTAATATATACATGATATATTAGGTAAAAAATGTTTCACACCAATACGAAAATAGATGTGAGTAAATAAATGCCAGTACAAATATATTATTGTAAAGATCCAGATACTTACATTTCTATATATACCTACATGCAGATATGTAGATAGAGACATATATGCATGTATGTTGGAAAACCTGGGAAGGCTATAGTCCAAAGTATTAACAGTAGTTAATGCTAGGAATTGGATAAGATGAGGGATGGTTTTATTTCTTATATAATCATAAAAACATGGGATTGTGGGTAATTTTTACTTTTTCTTTTCTTTTTAAATAAAAAGTTAAATAAAAACGTGGTGGTGATGGTCCAGGAATAGTAGTGTTCTACTTTATCATAGAAAGTGCAGCTTTATAGCTCTGGTAGAAAAGCTGGGGAGAAGGATACTACTTTCGTGGTGTGGTCACAGAGAACTATATGTCCCCCTAAGTGGTGAGCCCTTATTCTATCAATAACTTATAACTAAGAATACTTTTTAAAAATAGATAATTAGTCCTCTCATTGAGGTAAGAAGCCACCTGAATAGTCAGGCCGCTCAAGATGGCTGTTCCCATGCTCTCCGTATATCCCCTGCCCAGCCAGTGCCTGCTTCACCTAAACCTTACTTGCTGGACTGACCTTGCTAGTTACTTGCCCCAGGCCCCAGCTGGTGATTGTTCTTAGCCCTGAGGCAGTGAGGGGCGTGCCTCTCTACTGGTTTCCCTGGTAACTAATGAGCCCAGGTGAAGTCAATTCCCCTTTAACTGGTAATCTTCCCCCCAGCCACCACTTCCGCGGAGAGCGAAGACTACCAGCATGTCCTTCCTGCAGACCACCTTACACGGTGAGTTGTCGCTCCAGGACCTTACTTCAGACATGTAAGCTTCCCCCATCCATTAAACCACTGACGTCTTTGTTGCTGACGCCAGGCTCTTTCTTTGGTCTTGAAACTGGGCAAGCACAGGCCTTGTAGGCCTGTGGGGTGCAGCCCAACACCAGGAGGGAAGAGAAACTTTGGTAGTTACAATAGGGAGTTAAAGCATGGAGAGGTACATTTTGGGAAAGCAGATATGGATGGGATGACAGTTTGGATCATTGTATATGTCACAGGGGGGCTCTGGAAGCCCAAGGGATGGGATAAAGCAGGAAAGAGTGTAGGTTGTTTCACTCCCCTTGCGCATTTGCCTTTGGTTCTTCTATTTGCTGTTTTGTCACAAAATGACTTCCAAACTCTAGATTAACAACACCTGAGTCTGAGTATTAGGTCTGGTTTGGAGGGAGCAAACCTTTATTATCAGTGGTTCGGCTGCCCCTCATCCAGCATCTTCTTAATGATTCTCTTCCTTTCTATTCTTCTTCCATTGGCATGGAGAAGAGAAGACAGAGTGTGCATGGGAAAAAAAAAGGACCAAGACTATTTTTGAATCACTCACTGCTACAAAAGTAGTTCAGCAGAAGGACTGTTTGCTTTTAGGATCCCTGTGCCCAGCACACCCCTCTTATTTTTACATGGACATCCCACATCTCTCCAGATTTGAGGGTGACTGTCCTGTGACTTTAATTCTCTGGTGCCTTCATGAAAAGTCATTAATTTGCTGTCTGTCCAGGTTTCTTCTTGTTGCAAACAGGAAAGCTGCAGCTCTGAGACCACAAGTAAGAGATAAGATTTTAAATAATTAAATTATTGAAACAATGCAGGTAAATTGAAGTTAAAAATTAGAACGTGGCAGAAATCTAAAGGGTAGAAGTTTAGAAAGGGTGTGTGAGCAATGTAACTAAGAAAATAGCATCAGCCAAAAACAATCCTACTAGTTTTCCAAAAATGATTTCTAATTATTTATAAATATTTATTGAGCATCTGTTAAGTGCAATGTATCTTCTTAAGTGCTTTGCTTACTTTTTAAAATTGAATCTTTTCAGCAACCTTCTGAGTTAGGTTCTCTTTTTATTCCTATTAGGAAACTGAGGCACAAAAAGTTGGAGTGACTTGCCCAAGGTCATACAACTAATAAATGTTGGAACTGGGACTCTAAATCAGGAGGTCTGAATCCAGAATCTGTCTTCATAATATAAATAAAATAAGGCTATCACTTCTTCTGATATTAAAAGGAACCCAGCTGAACAAAGAAATAACATGCTGTAAGAAATAGTTCAATAGCAGAAGATACTATAATAGATATGAAAGGAGAAAGATTCTCAGATTGTTGAAAGGAAGAAAAGAAAAGGAAAGCTTGTGAGGATTTTAGAGCATGCTGACCATGGCAGCATGTCTGACCCAGGCAGACACTTCTAAGAGCTGCATGGAACTGTATTTAAGGTCGACAGGAATAAAACAATCCATTTTATCATACTTTTCTTGTATATACCCTCAGACTCATCTCTATTATTCACTGGCAGCTCCAGCGTTTGAACTCTGAAAATTACACTAAAAGTACTGAAAAAAGGTACTTTTTTATTTTAAATTATATCTTCCTACTGTTTGTAGATATTATGTGCATTACATTGCTAAAGAATCATTCTGTTTGCCTGAGGAACAAGACAGTTTAAAAATAACTTGTGTTGTGATTAGAAAAGTCTTTGTATAAAGATACCTGAAAAAGAGAGTGTGCACAGGCACCTGTATAACACATGACAGGTGACAATTTTCAGCTATGCTTGGGGAAACAATTTGTTCTGTATAGAAACAAAGCGTAGACAGGGAAAAAAAAGCATAATATGTTAGTGTTAGATATATTTGGCATGTATTTAAATGTATCTGTTCCTAACGAGCTGCATAAATCCTCTAAATATAAAATATATAAAATTTTGGAAATGCAGTTGGCCATAGGTCCTCTTTTGTGATCTATTAGTGGTGGTGGTGGAGGGGAAAGGAGGCAGACAGGAGTCAGGGAGATAGGATTCCCACTGGAAAAATTTAAACCTCAAGTGTATGAAGATACTCTGCTTCCTGCTGATACTGATTATGCTTAATACAGACAGTGGGGCTTATTTGTAAGTCCCTATGTGCTCTTTACACTGAAAGGGTGGGAGACTACAATATACCCAGTGGAGGGGGATGTGTGGAAATCTTACTGTGAGTCCAACAATTACAGAGAATCCAGGGTATTTTGCAACACCATTATCTCTTTCAAAGTCCAGCCTAGACTTTTAAAATATTTGAATAACACTGGATTGTAGGAAAATAACATTTTGTTGAAGAAAATAACCCTCTCCCATCCAACCTGAAATGGATTAAGGCAGTAGTAACTTCAGTACAATTCTGAAACAAAATCTGCTTCTCTAACCTTTTTAGTAGACAAGCCAACCACATCATCTGAGATTGGAAAGTCCACTTGGAAGTTTTGCCTTTAAAAATTGTCCTAATATGGAGAGGAAATGGGCCCTCCAGTGACTCTTTGCCCTGGCAGCATGAAGAGGCGTAGGGCGCTGGTATCTCAGCTGGAGGAGCCACCGGTTCCTCAGTGCCTTTTATTTCAACATTAAAACACTATAGAGAAAAGGGTCTGACTTTCCACCTTTTAATATTGCTCAATCATTTCTTTTTACTTCTTGCTTCAGTGAGTACAGTATGTGATTTTCTGGGGGAATTTATTAAAAAGAAAACCTTTCACTGTTTTATGGATGGATTTTGGAGAAATCTACAGTCCATGGATGTTTCTCAATCCCTTCACATCTGTTCTATTCTCTAAATCTTAGTGAGGACATGCTAAAAAATTGCCTCCTAATTTATAATGTAACAAATGACAGAATATTTTGACATTAGCAAATGAAGCAAAGTGACATTAGCAAAATGAAATGTTTTATATACCTTAAGTAGTTCAAACCATGAGTACGGCTTTCTGTTTTGGCCACTTGTACTGAGCAGATAGTCATAATCAAATAGCAGGGCTGTTTGACACCCAGGCCAGTTTTGTTGAAATTTTATGGGTAACTGAGATCATTTTGGGTCAGTCTTGTATTTACATTAGAGTGGTTATCTGCTTTCTGTGTTAAGAATGCCCCCCAACCCCGGCCTTTTTTTGTCTTACCCAGAGTCACCTAAACTTTTTTTGAATATCTATTTATAATTTTGAGTCTATTATCATTTTTGGACTTTAACTTCTTGTTTTCCATTTTTTAAGGGCCAATCTCAGCATTTCACCAACATCTCCTAAATCATAGTGAGTAAAAGATGGCAAGAAACAAGCCAGAGCAGGTGTCAGTGGGCCAGGAAAGATCCAGTATAGACATTGTCTTATGTTCTGATAGAAGCCATGCTTCTGGGGTCTCTATCCTCATCCACTTGGATTCTCTCTCACACAGATTCTGATGTAGGGTATATGGTGTCATCTTTCAGCTGGCTTAAAAAAGACTTACACCAAATGTACTCTTTGAGAAATCCTTGAATATAAATTTGTATTAATCCAGGTAGTTCTCTAGACCACAAACTTAAAACCCTGTAGGAGATGTGTAACAAATATAAATGAGTAAAGTGGGTCATATTAACACTAACATTGCCTTTTAAATCTCTGTGTGTGCATAAAATTCACATGCACTATTTTTTTTTTTTAATTTTTCTTTTAATAAAAAAGCTTTACACAAACAAGCCATTAGCTTATTTCAATAAAGAAAACCGAAAATTAGTCTAAGGCCTTTGTTTTCAGCTTAAGCTATATGATAAAAAAAAAAAAAAAAAATCGCACTAGATCGTTTTTGCTCTCTTTCTGAAGCTTTTGGATCCATTCTTCAATTCACATTCTAAAATACCTATATTAGCAGTCTTCACATAGCACCAGTTAAGTGAGTTCTGTGTGAACACAGTAATAATTGCTGGTATGCATATAAAATGCATCAAAAATTGCTATATGTAACAATGAGATCACCCATCCCAATCCCTCCCCACTGAAAACTATATAACCTCTTACAGAATGTTAGTGTTCCAAGTCTTAGTGTAACTTGATATTGTAGTGAGTTGCTTGGTCCCTTTCAATCCTTCTTCTTATTGACGGGTTCAGTTGTTTCCTACTGTAAGAGGCAGTTTTCTGTCAGCGTCTCAACATGTAGTTCACTTCCCACTGAAACGTGGGATAGGTAATTTACTTCCAGTAAGTTTGATTGTTTTCTTATATGCATTACAAATGTTTTAAAGTCTTCTGACTTCTCTTGATGACATCCTTGCAAATGCTTAATGTCAGGACTAGCACTAACATTCTAGCGCCCATGGGAGAGCTGCTCTTTTATTTCTCACATGTCACCAGTCCCTCCGTTTTCATAGTTACGGGAAGGGCAAGAGCTGAAGGCGCACTGACAACCACTACGTGGGTCACTGTCTTATTTCCATCTGCCAGTTTTTCTTCCTGTACCAGCTGCAAAGTTTTCACATCATGTTCCTGCTTTTTGGCCACTGCTTCCGATTTAATCTCTGGCCCTTTTATGACGGCGCTGATAACTCGGGGAGGAGTCTGGCCAGATGCCTGCTGAGGCGGCACTGCCAGCCTCATGACAGGCGCGCCGTGGGCTATTGAAACCGGGGTGAGCGCTCTCACCGCCAGTGGCGTTCCAACAATGTTAATGCTTCCTGACCCAGGCAGGTTTGATTTTGTCTGCAGCTGACACTGTGCGAGCTGTGTGGCTGGGATGGTAATGATTTTGGCAGGCTGCATGGTGATTTTGTCTGCATTTTCAGTGGAGGCTGGCATCACAGTAGGGATCGTCTGAATCACTACCTTCGGAGAGGCCGCTGTTGTTGGGCTACTGCTGGTTATCAGTGGTGCACCTGCATTAACTGACTGAACGGCCACAGTTGAGATTTTCTGCCCCAACGATGTCATTACAACAGGCACTTGCATTGCCACACGAACTGCCCTTGGAGCTGCTGTTGCTGATACAGATGCGGTAGTAGTAGGAGACCTGGACGAAGCATCATGACCAGGGGGAGTGATGTTCACAACTCTAGATACACCCTTCTCTGCTTTGGAGCAGTTTAGAGGAGATGAGTTTTTCCCACCACGCACAGAAGCTGCTGCTTTCAAGAGACTTTCTGCAGACAGTGACACTCGTTCTAATGACTTTTCATCAGCAGCTGCTGCTAAATCCTCATTGCAGGTTTCACTTTTGTCATCGTCTATGACCACTATGTTCTTGGGCATATCCTTGAACTGATATACAAGCCTCTGTCCTTCAACCTTTGCGAGAATACCCCTTTGGTAATAATATCTCAGAGCTCGTCCCATAGTTTCATAGTTCATGTCTGGCTTGTTCTTATGCTTTCCCCAAAGCTTAGAGACAGCCTTTGAATCCACAAGCTTGAATATGCCTTTTTCTCTCTGAGTCCACTTAATATACCGGGGACAAGTATTTTTATCTTGAAGTAGATCTAAAAGAAACTCCCACAAATAGGTTGTGTTTCCTTTTCCTTCTCTGGGCTTCTTCTTTATGCCTAACTCAGGAGACCCATTGGAAATTGGCGACTGCTGGGTCTTTGGTTTACGGCCAACTTTCTTCTTTTTCATTGGTTCATGGCTATCTGGTGACGTAGGAAGAGGAGAGGTATCCATTGGTTCAGATTCTTCAGTTGACACCTCCACTACAGTTTCTGTAATGACATCCGGCCTCATAGCAGCATGGATAAATTCTGGAGTTGATACACAAGGAGGGACAAACACTTCCACAGGACTTCTTGAATCTCTCAAGCAGGTAGGAGATTCCATATGAAGCAGGGCTTCAGCAGCTTCAATTGTCTTATCTGTACAGTGTGCATTACTGCTATGAACTGATGCTTCCACTCTCAGCTTTGCAGAAGAGAATGCTGGCAATGGATCTAGTTCATAACAACGTTCAAACGACTAGCTCCCCAACCTAAAAACAGTGGATGGAAAACAGCCGGTAAGATCCTTTACAGCAATCCTCGTCGGTGACTCTTCCCCATCAGCCCGGATGAGCAGATCCAGCTGGTTCGTGCGTCCCTCATGCAGAGACGTCGCCATGTTTATCCCGGGGCTGGAGCTGCTGCTTCACATTGACTTACACCGTGAGCAGCGGCGGCAGGGGAGGAGCCACATGCACTATTAAGGTCCAGTGGCTGGCTGGGCGTGACTCCGGGATAATACTCACCGTTTTCTGGCACTAAGAAAGCTTCACTATATAATAGAGCTCTCTCTTCCAGAGTCCCTGAGAAACCAACCTTCCAGCTGCAGGCCCCGTTTTTAGCTAGGACAAGTCTCATCTTATTTAACCATTCTTTCCAGAAGTGGCTGAGTTGAAGTTATTGCTTTCTGTGGTCTCAATTGCCTGTTAGAAAATAATTTAACCTAAATCTTAGGACCGTTGTGGGACAATCCCAACCGTTTACCATGCCTAAATAAGGTGCTGACTGGCTCCTCCTCACAAGGAGAACTAGTTTTAAGATCTTCACTCACAGGCCTTCACTTAAACTTGAAAATTTCCTATTTGTTATAGCAAGGAAGGCAATTCAATTCAGCTGTTTTAAAATATTATTAAAAAGAGTCTGCTCTTGGATATAGTTCAATTCCTGAATACGGCTGTTGCTGGGAGATTTGACTGAATATGTTGTATCTTGACTTAAGCATATATTGTGAAAACAAGATTTATTTGCAAAATTCTGTGGTATGCATCAGGTGTTGCTTCTTTTGTCAAAATTAAAAACCCATAAATCTTTTTTCTTGTCATATAATCAAGTACTTAAGAGGATTGTACAATAACTATCCTTTAAAAAAGTAGGATTTGATATTTAAGTGCGTGTTCAGCAAAATTAATTAATTGGAGGCTTCTGCAGTTCAGGGATGGACAGTTGTCCAAGGAACCTGCAAAGGCTTCATGTTGTAAAATTATTAAAGCACATAATGATTATACCTTTAACCTGTGAGGACATTTTATAGATAGCTCACCATTAATAGGCATTTATTAAGGCAATTAAAAGTACACTCTGGCTTCCCTGGTGGCGCAGTGGTTGGGAGTCCGCCTGCCGATTCAGGGGACACAGGTTCGTGCCCCGGTCCGGGAAGAACCCACATGCCGCGCAGCGGCTGGCCCCGTCCAGAGCCTGTGCTCCGCAACGGGAGAGGCCACAGCAGTGAGAGGCCCGCGTACCGCAAAAAAAAGTACACTCTGCTTTTATAGCTACAAATAAACCTTCCCATTTCCTTTAAGAGCGTATTATTATCCCCTTATGTGGAAGAGTAAATGGAAGCAAAGATTGAGCATTACTAGTAGGTCTGTTTTCTGCCTAGGCTGATTAGCATATTATGAAGGGATTAATAACTGAATAGATTATAATTTTTATATCTATGACTCATGTCCAATAATGATCAATTCTTTACCATTATCAAAATAATGGAATCTTATTTGCAGTAAAAAGATAACTTCTTTGATGGCTTTAAAACATGGTCAGCCAATTTCTGATACTCCTTCATTAAGAGGATGGATTTTTGTCCTCTTTCCTTGAATCAGGGCTCTGTGACTGCTTGATCAATAGCACTGGAAGTCACACTGTGCTGATCCCTGGCCCAGGCTTCTAGAAGCTAGCAGCTCCTACTTCTTGTCTCTTGGTATGCCTATTCTTGGAACCCAGCCACTATGCCATGTGAAAGCCTAAGCAGCCAGTGCAGCAGCCCTCAAGGGGCATCCAGCGCACAGCTCTAGCTGAACTTCCAGATTATGGACAGTTCGAACTTGCCAGCCATGAGTGAGCCATCTTGAAAGTGGGTCCTCCAGCCCTCAGGGAGTTGCCCTTGATGATGCTGTGTGGAACACAAATTAGATATCTCTGTTGATCCCTGCTCAAATTACAGATTTGTAAGCAAACTAAATGATTATTGCTGTGTTTAAGCCACTAAGTTTTGAGGTGATTTTTTACACAACAGTAAATAACTGACACATGCTCTAAGGAAATGGTAATGTTCCTAGCTCCCTTCTCTACCACACAGCAAAAGCTAGGTACTATTTTAAATCTCAACCCTTGATACTACTGGCTCGTAAAGGAAGAAAGTGAACACACCAGGTTTCCAAGGGAGGCTCCCAGTTCTCACTAAATGTTGGTGGAACTGTACTTGTTCTAGGATGATGTATCACAGACTAATCTAATTTACTGAGTATCTACTAAATTCCAGGCACAGGTGTAGCTCTAATGCAGGCAGCTTTGCTGTTTCTCGCACTGCTTGAGCTACTAATTCACTGTGGGATATTTGACAAGTTATTCTGCGTTAATGAGTCCCATTTCCTCATCTGTAAAATGAGAGGGCTTGGATAAATGTTCTCTCAGGTTCTTTCAGCTCTAATATAATATTATTCATGACTTTAAAACTTTAGCTGCTCCATTTGAAAATCCAAATATTCATTGCCCCTCCTCGAGGACTCCTCCCTTCATTATTTGAATGTTCTTTCGTTTGTAGAGAGTATTTCATTCCTAAGAAGGGTTGAAAGTAAAGCTCACCTGGTCTCTATCTGATGCTTTCCAATTGATGACAATTCTCCAACCTAAATCTAAAGCCACAAACAAAAAACTAGAAGCTGAGATGAGGAAGTCCTGATGGGCAAGTCAAAATGGGACCAATAATATTTACCTCATATGTAAAGCCCATAGTTCGGGGTCTGAATTTAGCAGATACTCAACAAAAGTTGTTGTTCTTTTTTTTCTTGAGAAGCAACCCAGACTAATTGCTTGAAATGTAAAATTTTGATCATAGAATTTCATAAAATACTTTCCTATTTCTACAAAAGTTTCTGAAATCTTAAATGTCCTACACTAATTGATTGTTATTAAATATATTTCTTCTGATATGTATGTGTGTTTGATAAATACTGGCTGCCTGGTTTCTGGTATTGTCAAATTTGCCTTTTTTTTTTTGTACATGGATCATCATAGCATCTTTATTTTTAATAGACAGAATTGTAACAACCTCGAGCACCCATCAACAGGTGAATGAATAAACATACTGTGGTATACTCATACAGTGAAACACTACTCAGCAAAACAAAGTAATAAACTATTGATACCCACAAAAACATGAATTACTCTCAGAATAATTACATTGAGTGAAAGAAGCCAGATAAAAGAGTCCTCACTGTATGAATCCATTTATATAAATTTCTAGAAAAATGCAAACACATCTATAACAATAGAAAGCGTATCAGTGGTCACCTGGGGATGTGGAGGGGTGGAATGTGGGGAAAAAAAGGGGGTTTATGAATGAGGCATTAAAACACTTGCAAGTGATGGATATGTTCCTTTTCTTGATTGTGTTGGCAGTTCTATGGGTATATGCATATTTCAGAACTTATATTCGTTCTTTAAGTATGTGCAGTTTACTGTGTGTCCGTTATATTTAACAGAGCCATTAAAAAAAAGGCTAAGAACAGACGTTTGTCTCAAATAAATGTAGCAAAGAACAGATTGCCTTTTTTTTTTTTTTGGTTTGTTTAAATAATAAGGAATCATTCAATAAAAATGCAAGCCAGGCTATATGTGATGAATAATTTTTTCTAAGAAAATGAAAAGATGAGTTGTGGCATGACATTTTATAAAATTCATAAAATGAATTATCAGTATTTTTTTGTTGGAGAAATTTTTAAGAGTATATTGTTGTTCCTTGCATGTATTAGTTATCTACTGATGTATAACAAATTATCCCAAAACTTAGTGTCTAAAACAACAACAAATATTTATTATCTCACTCAGTTTCTGTGGGTCACAAATTTAGGAGCAACTGAGTTGGATGTTTCTGACTTGAGTCTCTTATGAGATTGTAGGTAAGATGTCAGCCAGGGCTGCAGCCATCTGAAAGTTTGACTGGGGTTGGGGGGTTTGCTTACAGTGGTTCACACATGTGCTGGCAAGTTGGTGCTGGCTGTTACTAGGAGACATCAATTCCATGCCATACAGATCTCTCCCTAGAGCTACTTCAGTGTTTTATAACATGGCATTTGACTCTCTCCAAGATAGCTCAAGGAGGAACCCACAATATCTTTTATGACCTAGCCTTGTAAGTCAAACACTGCCACTTCTACAGCATCTTATTAGTCATACAGGTCAGTCCTATTCAATTTGGGAGGGGACCACCCAAGTGCTAGAGTACTAGGAGCTGAGAATCATGTGGACTACCTTGGGTGATGGTTACCATGTCAAGGTTTTTGCTTTTTTTTGTCACTACGCACATTTTCTATGGACAAACCCATCCATATCCATAGTTTCACATGCCACCTTTAAGGCCATTACTCTCAAATATATAAGTAAGTCTTGATTTCTGTTCTTCAGACTCCAGTGCATAATACCTATTTGAAATTTATTTTATCCTACTGCTATTTACTGAGTAGGCACTAGGAACCAGGCCTTAGACTACTCTGGGTAAAGAAGACAGGCTTTCTGCCCTCATGGAGATTGAAATTTAATGAAGCAGGAGGAAAATAAATAAATGAAGAAAGAAAATTTGTATAGCTTGCAGTAAGTATAATGAAAAATATACTGCTGTGATAATAATAATGGGAGTGTGTGATGGGAGAGGAGACGGTTAGCTATTTTACATGCAGTGGAAAACAAGAACTCTTTGAAGAAATGACATTTAAGCTGAGACTGGAGGGATAAGATGTGAAAGATGGGGGAAGAAACTGTTTCAGTCACTGAGAACAGCAAGTGCAAAGGCCCGAGGCAAGGAAGAGCATGGCATGACCTAGAAAATGTCAGAATAACTGTGGCTGGAGCAGTATGAGTGAGAGAGAGAATGGCTTCCAGTCTTATGGTATATGTAATGTAACAAGTCTACATGTAAAATCATTATTCTCATCTCCCACTCTAAATTGCTGTTTCTCTAATGCTTCCTGCATCACTGAATAGCAGCAGTTGTTATGAGTTCTGGATTTGGAGTTGCCAGGCCTGTTTGAATCCTGGCTCGACAGCTCACTAGCAAAGATATCTTGGAAGTGTTAATTACTTTTTCTGATCTCCAGTGTCCTCACCTTTAAAGTGGGAACATTGTTGAGGATTAAA